TGCAGACTAGAAGCAACATTAGGAATTGGATATACCAAAACTCGAGAATGGCTTACTCGAGCAAATATTCCATTTCCAAAATCTTTTATAGAATTTCAAGAAAAACAAGGTCCCACAGGAAAATATATGCCTAGTACAAGTAAACTGAATGTTCATGATTTGATTTGTAATCAAATAAATAATACTTATTGATTATTGAAAAGCTTAGGAGGTAACTTAATGCTTCATATTAGAAGCAATCGAAAAGATCTTTGTTTTGAATTGGGTCGACAATTCTGTCAATCTATTCCTGATGACTCTATTGCTAAATTGGATGAAACTTTTGGCTTTGCACATATGAGCTCAAAAACAAATGGACTTTCTCAAGATTTTATTGGTTTCGAAGACGGCAACGAAAATCCGAAGGATGACAAACAAAGGGTACACTTAAAAGTAGATGTAGGTATGTATTGTATTGTAGAAAGTCTTATATTCAGGCTAAAGCTGCGCTGATATATGATGGAGAAGACGTTTCAATTCATGTCGGAGGATCCTTTGCATTAACTCAAAAATGGAAACATAATCTGATTAAATGGAATGGGTAAGTTAAGATTTTGTGAAAGTAACTGACTGAATTGAAATCTTGTTGACGAATATTGATAGACTATCACAAGAAGAACAAGAAAATGTAATTGGAAGAACGAAAGGAGAAGAAAGTAAAAAGATCAGACCGAAGGTTCCGACACCTCATGTTGCTCGAACGGATCTCAAAGAGAATGAAGTGGATATCAAAGTGGTCAGGCAATCGTTACCTTATGGAGGGATGCAAGAGCACGGATTATTTTTTATTTCCTATGCTTCCAATCCAAATAAACATGAAAAACACCTAAATAGCATGATTGGCATGGATGATGGAATTCATGATCGAATTATGGATTTTTCAACACCAATAACTGGGAATTATTGGTTTATTCCTTCGATAAACGTTTATGAAAAGATGTTTTAGTTTTTATTCGTTTGCGTATTACTTCTTGTTTGACATTTTTCATTTTGTCTTTCTATAAAATACCCATGAGAACACGAATTTTAGAATCATAATTATGCCGTTTTTCAAGTATATCAGCATTATCTATTTGTAAAATAATTTATCCAAGATTTTGTTCTTAATTATTCTCTTCGATTCAGATGAGCGTCACCTTTTACTAGAACAATGAATCTTATCTTGAATGCCTTTNCGTGAGTATGAATGGGTGTGAATGTGTAGTCGTCCATCAATAAATTGACTCTAGGTCGTTCAAAGTTCTAAGAAAACAGAATTTACTATATACCATTCGATGCGGCTCGAAAAGCTCTACAACATGATATATTTGTTTCTTATTTCTAAACTAGTTCACCCCATCCGACAAGGTCCTTTAAATGACGGGACACGAACTTTTGGTACGTCCTAAGTAAATGTCGGACTAGTTGTAAAGATGATTATTCAAATATCTCTTGAATGTCAAGGTAAATAAACAATTTTCTTTTAACTTTGTTCTTTATCTTTTAATATAGACTAACTAATGATCAAGTATTTATCACCATGAATGAAGGAATTTTCAACGATTCAATATTTCTATTTTGAATATTAAACTATTTATTTAGGACTGGTAAACAATTGTTTCAAATTATGAAGAGAGTTCTGTTTGTTTTTTGTTTAAAAAAAATCATGTTTTATTGTTAATATTTAACGTTTATAGTTGAATGTGCTCAAATTCTTCGACTTAATGTTACTTTGAAATTTCTGTATTTAAAAAGCAAATCAGTCAATATCAAAAAATTCAAACAGAATATCATCGGCGTCATACAGACTCAGATAAAAATATTCATGAAATTGAAAAACAATATAGAAAATTATGAACTGATATGTCATTTACATGATTTTTTTTAGTTTCTATTTAATTTAGGACGATAATGTTCAACGAGAATCAATTCAACAAATTACACATTTATCAAACATATGCACAAAATTAGTTTGTGGAAATATAAGTTCAATTCTATCATAAAAATCAGCTGTTGAGCTTTATACAGAGTGTATCAAAACATTTTCATCTATCTTTTAAGTTTAATAATGAAAGGTTTTGACGTCTCGTCAAATATTGAACTGAACATGAAAATACAATAGTTTATCGATGGTCACGTGTCGATGAGTGTTGAACGACTGACATTAAATACACCCATTGAAGGAAACTGAAGTTAAACAAGCAGCAAATCAGAAAAAGTAGCAGAATTACTTGGTCTAATTTTTTCATCAAATGATGTTCATCCTAATTCAATTTCTGGTGCTATCTAGAGAAGCTACTCTGAATTGATAAACTCATCTAAGTATCTGTTTTATCTTTTATTTTCTTGAAAGCCTTCTCTTTTTTATGTCCAACTAGTTGGTGATAGTATTGCTCATGGTTTATATCAACAGGTAATCGACAACTAAGTAGATCGTTTTTTTTTCGACGTGTTATTCAAAGAAATCTGCTGAGCGTCTTATAATTTGTTTGCAACAAAAAGAATTTAAAGAAAAAGCAACAATCAAAAGAGAAATTTAATTTATCAATTTCGTATACTAAACAACTTAAAGAACAGGTTTAAAAAATTCTACCGGATTTTTCTAGGTAGTAACAGAAACTATAGTAAAAAAATGCCATAATCGACGAATCAGTGTATCATGGGTGAAATCAATACATTATAAAGATTTTATTTAGTTTTCTTCCAAAAACTTTTGCAATGTGCATCGATATATTCAGGAGATCGGTTTTATTATTGTATACTGATAAATAAAACAAATGCATTATTCAGAATGCCATCGCAATTAAACTACTAATCCGAAAAGCCTAAGAAAGTGAACATCACAGTGTGGGCATGATTGTCCTCTTTATCAACATCAATAATCCCGCACCGATACCCTTCCAGATGAGAAATGCATGGGTAAAATTTCTGATGAAAATAAAATCTATTCTTTAAAGTCAAAAATACTACAAAAAGAGCATCCTCGGAATTGATGGAATTAATTTCTTTTTTTGTTATTGTTGAATTATAGGACAAGTGACAAGGGTTGAATCTACTAGGATACTTGTGGTAAGAACACTCACATCAGTTCTTTGAATGTCTTCCATTGATACTAATCTGGATTCGAAAAATCAAATGTATTATTGTTGACAAAAAAAATACAGATATAAACAGTATTGAAACGAAAATAAATTGGAAAATTTACGAAACACTGGATGTTTCTCGTGGAACTTCTATTTTTTAGTGGCGAACACATGCGAAATAAAATAATTATGCTACTACTGATTATGCGATACAGCAATGTCTAAGAATTTTGCTTGCATAAAAGAGTTCTAAACGGGACAGCAAATTTGTTGATCAAAGTACGAGATACTGCTAGCTATGTTTTTATCAAAAAGGAAAAAGAAAGAATGAAATCCTAGTTTAAATTTATGAGAATCGTATTATCAAGATCTCTAAACTATCGATCTAATGTTGTTTCATGAATTATAACATGCATACGGTTAAGATTTGATCAATCTATCACTTTGATTTTTCATTTTATCGACATAAAATTGAATATTATGCTTAGTGCCATCATCTTCAAACTCGAATTCAGAATATAAACATGTAAATGAATCTTGTGCATATGAGAACAAGGAAATAATATAATTTTGAGAAAAACTGATTAAATTTTACTTCTCTTTGAAATTACTCCATAGTTTGTGCTATTTGTGAAAAATAAAAACTTATGACATTGAAATTTTCAACGAAAATGAACCAATACATTCAGGATAATTTTGACTGCATGCAGAGCGATGTACTTTCTCAGATTCTAGAAAACGTTCAACAAACTAAAAATTGCTCTTAACAGAAGAGAAAATAGTAGTCTTAATTAAACTTATCTGTGAAATCGACTCGATCAAAAATTATCGAGAAAATGCATATTCCATAGACCAAAAGACTGAAATGAAATGAATACATTCAAGAAAGTAAAAAGTCATCGCAAAGAAAGTGCACCCTTATCGTCAAAGTTTGATTTGATCTCGATAACTAATTCATTGATAATTCTTCAGTTTTCTTTTAATATGGATTCATGATAATCTAAGCTGATAAGACTGCGGGTATATGGAATGCTGATGTTTATGTGTATATGATGCTTCTCTTCAAACAAATACACCCTTCTGGTATTATCTTATCTTTTGTAAACAACAATAATCTACGGCGTAGAACAGAATTTCATCATGAGTGTAGGTGTGGATCTCTACGTGTTTTCTTGAATATAAACCCAATATTGAACCATTGTTAATTATTTTTTGATGATCAATGGATTTTAAACCTTGATTTAAGTCAAATATATTGAATCATTAATAAAATCAAATGTAAATTGATTTGAAAATATAAAATAATTGTATACATCTTCTATTTTCTCCTTTCTTTCTCATCGTCTGTATCTATACATAAGCAGATGTATTCCACTCTCCTTTGTATGTGTATTCTGAGCCGAAAAGTGAAGTTAGATGTATACATTTAATTTTCTTTATTCTTCGGTTTCGAACACATACACACCTTTCAATGAAAGGTTGACTCCTGCTGAGAAGCGACTGGCAAAGTGTCTTTATTCCTTGTACGAATTTGATGAGAGGACTAAATCCTCTAGTATTGACTTTTTTCTATTTATGCCATTCGATTGATCCCAATTGATTTAAAACAAAAACGTACTCAGATTGTATGTCAATTGAAACAAATGTCTTCTATCGGTGATTAACAACGTTAAAAAATTTATGCATCACTACAAATTGTAAAGCCTTCATCTATTTTTATTCCACTAGCATAAAATATTCTAACGCAATAAAATATTTTTGTCAAGCTATTCTCAATAAATAAATGCGTAGAATTCTGTTTCAGATTCGATAAAAGCAATATTAACAACGTTTATTTTATTCGATCATTAAATTCTACAGTGAATGAGAATGAAGGAGTACCATGAAATGTAATAATAATCAAACGATAATGATTCGAAAATTAATTGTTGAATTCCAATCATAAATTTTATTCTTAATCTCTAGTAATTTTGTTCTGAATTGATTGCCTTCTAACATATTTCCAATCATTTCAAACGTCAATGTCTTCAATTTACTACATTTTTCTACTAGCCTTTTCCATTCATTTTCATATAGCATTTGCTCGAAATGATATTCATTGATAACTACACGAATATGTCGAACATTTTCCATGCTTAACATAAGATCAAATAATTTCTTAAGACAACTTAAATTTGGATTATACAAACGATTATTCTTGAAATTTAACAAAAATCGACCGATACTAATATCAAAATGTTCAATTGTAGTATTCGTGTCGGTCATTTTTAGTGGCCTATTATAATAAGGACGAGGAATTACTGTTGTACAATGAATTTTTATTCGTTTAATTTGAATTGAAAGTTGACGAATACTCGTATTTAATGAGTATAAATCAACTTCATCATCATAGTACAAAGTAAGATAATTTAATTTTGAAAAATATTTTACATATTCATTGATTTGTTCGATATCTAGAGGATTGAGAAGAGTTAAAGATATAATCTCAGTAAAAATAGCTAGAGAAGGTAAATCAATCATTGGCAAATATCGAATCGTTCTCAAACATAAGGAAACAATTTGTTCAGGATTGAATGTTCGAAAAATCATTTTGTTAAATTCATATGAAGGTTCAAATAGATGTAGTCTTGCTTTATATCTATGCAAAAATGGAAGAATTTCCGATGAGAACATATTAACTGCATCATTAACATATAAATATTGAGCTATTTCAAGAATAACGTCCCAACATAGGCCAGTTTTTCTAATAAAATTATATGACTAAAATAAAATTAAAATTTCTTTTAATTATCTTTGTTTTTCACATTAAAATTTACTAGATTTTGTTCATTATCATCAAATTCTTTTTTGAAGATAATTAGTTCTTTTTTTAATGTTTCACGATTTAGTTTCCATGAAGAACGTGTTAACATATTCCATTCAACTAAGGATTCATATTTGTATTCAGATGATATTAACCAACCTTTTTCTCCTGTTGGTCTTTGCATAATACCAATAAGCATAGGGCATTGTTGGTACGAAAAAAAACAAGGAAATTGATCAGAAAAAATTTCTTTCCAAATTTCTTTCAATCTAAATAGAGAAGAATAAATAAACAAATATGTAAATTGTTCAACATATTTCCTAGTTTTATTGATCTTTGAAAAATTTATTAAAATTTTACTTAGTTCTATTTGATTCAGATGAAATATCCCATGGCCAGACAATATAATTTTCATTTAAATATTTAATGATACTATTGCAACATAATATATTTGAACAGAATATATGACTTAACAAAGTCTTGTCATGATGTATATAGACAAGCACTGGTTTACGCTAAAATACCAGACATTTCTGTTTTTTTTATATGCGAATAGATTTGAACGAACATCTTTAATCATTGGCTTGTTGAATGCTATTTGACAAGCTTCTTGAAGAGAGTCCATGAAAAATATCGGACAATGATTGTATCGTCGATTGAAACGTTCACAAAGAGATGCAATACTTTGAACTTCATTTTGAAATTCATCAGGAGCTTTGAAATAATATAATTATGAATAAATTTTTTGTTTGTTTTTCATTATTGTGATATGTATAAACAAACTTACAAGGAGTATAATCGGCTAAATCATCATCATATTCTACTTCACTGTTATCCTATATAGACAATAAACATAATTTGGAATATATTTATTTTCATTAAAATATTCATCTTGCAAGAGAAATTATCTTTTTTTTGCGTACTATCGAGATCATGTGTTTGAATTTTATGGTCGAATCTGATTCAAAATCAATCATTTATTCGTTTATTAACAAGAGCGATTTGTAACATGAGAAATAATCAATTTTGTATTAGTCTAAAAACAAATAGAAAGTCATATTTTCGTTTATATTTATAGTGATTAATTATCGTGGTACTCTTTTGGATTTTTCCAATATGTTTGAATACATTCATATATTGTCATTCCAATGAGTAATATGTTGTTTGTTGGTTTCTTCCTTTGCTCGTTGGTAGGTTTACGTTACCTAATAAACTATAAGCAGAATAAGAAAAACGTTTCTTTCTTTTTTTTTTATCAGCGTATGTACTACTTATTTGCGACCTCTATATGAAATCTTGAACCAATGAATAAGTCAGAAATATTTTTACTTAACATATTTGAGAATTGAAAAAGAAACATAATTATTATATGCTCATTACTGGTTTCAACATATTCATGCCATTCGGTCAACAGTTTACTTCGGTAATAGTTACAAAGAGCTGTACAAAAAAAAACAATTTGGGCCTAAAACATAAGCTAATAGATAGTTGCCATGAATGGGAAGTGTTTTGTTTGATTGTGAATTAAGTTTAGAATTTGTTGATACCTAAATAGTAACGGAGGAACTTTTGAGCCGATATCATAAAGAAAGTACATAATTTGATAATAAAGAGTGGGCCATCTATAGTATGTGACAACATACCATGTAGTTGAATCTTTATACTTTTAGGAAATGTAATCTTACTTCTGTATATGTGAGTTATATTAGCAAAACAGCTATTATTTGAACTGATTTGTCTTCAAAAGAAAAAGACAGTCAAATATATATAGTCTTTGTTATGTAGTTTCATATATGTTTCAATAGTTAGATAAATCTTTTATTAGATTAGAACTTTAATTTAGTTATATTTCAACTTTGCCATGAATCATATTATTGCATGTGACAAGAATCAGTAGATGATTTATATAAGCATTATAATCCGTAACGCCTATTCAATTGAGATATTATTTAATTTTATCATAAATTTAGTTTTCGTTCAATTAAATTTAATTAATATATCAAATAAGAATCATGATTAATTCAATTCTAGTAAATGAGCAATAATTGAAATATTCATATCTAACTGAAGTAACAACTCCCTCAAATATTACAAAATGTCAAGTCTTCTATTATAATCCGTCAAGTCTTGACCACTTTTGCTAAGGATGAGAAGCAGTTTCTTTCATAGACTTCCGCAACTTTCGTTTGCATATTATGCAGTCTCATTAAACTCAGAGAATAAATCTTCATTTTCATCATAAAAAAATGAAACTGAATATTTCAGAAACAAAAGAAAAATGACATTTACTCTTGAATGGCACCGTCGTCAAACTGCTAGCAATCGTCTAAAACGTTTTACTCGAACAACAAAAAGATCTGAATGATTAATTTGATGGTACAGCTTATGATGGTTTTCTTGATGTAAGAAAACATTCTCGTTGTTACAAGATATTAAATTCATATTTTTAGGAAGAATTAGATAATGATTATCGTTCTTAACATGATGAAGAACAACAACCAGGTGGAGACGAAGAAGAACAAACAGATACAAATAAAAACCAAAACATTGATGAAGATAATGATGATGATGAGGCAACAACAGAACGTAAAAGAAAAAAAATAGTTATATGACAAGTACAAAGTCTTCGATAAAAAGTAATTAAATTTCTTTTGTTTCTTTTTACTTATTTGTTCGGTTTTTTTGTTTGTAGTTAAAAGCTTAAAAAAAGAAGAATCAGGAGAATTAAAATTCATACGACAACAACAGAAGAAAAGCTAATGCACCAAAAATTGGTAAAGTCAATTTTTTCGAAAATCTAATCATAAACGTTTTTCGTTCGATTTAGAGGCTAAACCATTACGTAAATCAACTAATTTTAAACGAGTTGAACTTGAAAAAAGACAAGAACATTGCAGCTATCTTAAAGGTATTGCATCATTAAGAAATACTGGAAAAGTAAGAAAACTTACAACATAGGAAGAATTATTTGAAGAAGTGAATATAACTGACAGATGCAATATTCCGTATAAAATGACTTCAGGAATGTTCACGTATTTGTATAAGTTCAATGACAACTTTAAATGAACCCAATGATCAATAGAATGATCTACTCGATGAAAGTTATAAAATTGAATCCATACCAGAACGTTTTTTATGTATATTTGTTTCATTTGCACATATTTTAACATATAATGAAGCACTTTCAAAATTAAATTCATCTAATCGTTATTATTGCTGTTTATATTCAATAACAGGAATGCCAGCACAATATTTTGATTCATTAATACAAATGCCTTATGCTACATTAGAAGCATTCAAAATTCTTCGATGAATTTATTTCGAAGAAATGAACAAACAAAATCTAATAACATTAGTTTTAATCAATACTCAGAACGGTGTTAGTGTGAATATTTTTCGTTGATTTGTAAGTAAATAAATATCAATCATGATTAATTAGAGGAAGAATACATACTGGTGTTTACAAACACAAAACAAAGTATACATCTTGTTCGACGCATATTATCTAATATATACATTCTCTTCGAATTTTTTTATTTTGTAATTGATAATCTGTGAAGAACAACGAGTAACTATGAAGAAAGAAAGATCTTCTTAGGATTTTCTAGATATCTCTCTTAGTTTGCAAAGCCTTGAATTGCACGCTTTCGCAAAACATAGCTTCTTAAGTTCTCTACAAAATTTCATCAATTGAATTTTTTCAAAAGGATAATTAGAAAACCATATACGGTTAGCCGTACTATAGGTAAGAAAAGTTCACTGTCAAATGTAGTTTTTTTTTCATTTTTACAAAACTAATTATTTCTCTTCTTATGACTCAATAGGTTTGAACCATTTGTGAGCACGTTTCGTATGCTTTCAGATGTGCTCTTTTTTAACAGAGATTAAAATAAGGTCTTCAAATAAGTGATTCTGAGATTTCTATAATCAATCTTCTTGAAGAACAGGTTGCAATCATTGATAATTCCCCATATTGATATGAGTTCTTACAGAAAAAGAACGTGAGCAACACCGTGGATCAGAATATGAGTTTGAATGCAGAGAAGAACTTCACCCACATCCATCTCACCCATACTTTGGTTACCATAATATCATGTGCTTTGTTTTTAGTTTAAACACACCATGTCATTGTCATTATAAATGGAATCAAATATCGAATGAAGGCAAATTAATTGAGGTACAAAATCATTTTTATGTAAGAATGAACTCCCACTTTGACTTTAATTTAAAACCTTTGTCAGCTATACCAAAACCGATGATCCTTGTTCGTGCATTATGAGTATTGCTTCATCGATAATAAAAACAAAACAAATGGGTTAGTCAATACCAATTTTAACTTTAATTAAAATTCTTCATAGCTAAGCCTGAACGAAAATGTTCATTCAACAACCTTACCTATCCTACAAATTACAGTAACTTTTCTTAAGGTAAAATAATTTTTCTTTAAAATTTTTTAAAACGATTTATTTTCTATGCAAGCTCTGATTGATTGAATTTCTAAAAAATGAACAATCAAACTTAATCGTTTTATACAAAGCTAATAAAATGGTCAACTTAAAATTAGTCGAAAATTTAAAACACTTTTATTTTAGTGAAACTTGATCTTTTCATATTCGCAAATGAGAAGCAGCTAGGTAAAGCTCGTGTTTGTGATAGAGTCAAAAAAGGTAAAGGCCTTGTTAGAGTTGCACTGGTGAGTTAAAATCGTCGCAATCCCTTATATAGACCGTTTTATCTAAAGGACTTCCAGGTAGGCCCTGAAAGCTCGGTCAGAACGCGTGTTGGTGTTCGTGACACACGACCGGACTCTCACCAGACCCCTTGATATATCTGATGTCAATAATTTGAGTCTGCTTCGTGGGTGGATAAGCTTTACGCTCGTCACGGCTTTATCAGAGCGGTGCCTGGTCGCGTGTGAATAGAATAGGCATTTCTTTCGTCAATTCAATGTAATTTATTTGAAGGCAAGAAAGAAAAAAAGTCATCCATTGTAATGAGTCTATTCGATAGAAAATCGTTGAACACGAGTATTTCCCATATCGAGGACATAGAGATTCCCATGTCGATCGAAGGACAAATCCGTGGGCTGGTTCAACTGGTTAGCTCCTTGTCCACCACTATTTCCACCCACAATAACAGTGCCTTGTGTCACCCCTTTGGACCAACGCGTCACTCGATTATTTCCATACTCTGAAACATAGAGAGTACCCAACGTATCGACGAACAGTCCATGAGGCCAGTATACTTGTGACAGAGCGCCCCCAAAACCTTTACCACCAGCGACGACAATTCCTTCTTTTGCACCTTTCTCCCATTTCATCACACGATGATTCTGTTGATCTGACACATAGACACTCTGTTGTTGATCGACAAAGATGTAGGCCGGATACTTGAATTGATTGAGTCCATCACCTTCTCCATGACCACCAGCAACGGAAGTTCCATTCTTGTCTCCTATTTTATATCGTCTTACTTCATTTTTGTCATCGTCAGAGACGTAGAGATATCTTTGATCATCCATAGCCAATCCTAGACACATGAACTTGTCGAGAAGGATTTCTCCTTCAACTGCACCACTACGACGAGATAATCGTAAAACTCGACGATTCCAATTATCACAGATAATCAGACTATCCGTTTCTTTGTCGATCAGCACATCGGTTGGATTATGCAGTTGATTCAATCGATCTCCTTGACCGTGGGTCCCAGCTACAACTTGTCCATTGGTATCGCCCATCTTCCATTGGACGACACGATTATTCCAAGAATCAGTGATGACCATCGTTTGATTCTCATCAACAAAGATACCTTGGGGTCTTTTGAATTGATTGGTGGCATCGCCGTATCCATGGTCTCCAGCAACAGTCACTCCATCCTGTTCCCATCGGGCATCGGCCGGAATATTGGGAATTACTACGATGAACGAGAAAAAGAAAGATAATCTTCGGTGTCTACGAATAACACGTTCTTCTTCTTCTTTGAAGGCAACATGGAGAAACTTTCGAGAATGACTCTCTCTAACATATCATAAGCAGGGTGTAGGTGTGAATCCTTACATCATGCACACTCCAAACCTACACCCACATCTCCGAATATCTCTCGGTTCAAAACATTCCAAGGGAGTCAAATGACTTGAAATTTTCAAAAAGTTCGTTTTGTCAAACATAGTTTTCGTACAGTATCCAGATTGACCATCATATTTTGTAGACGAACTAGCTCCAGTTTTCCATTTTCCCGCTCTTACGCAGTCTATGTTTGTGCTACTGATATTGAATCTTCAATAGATCGAATGTTCTGTTTTTGTTTAAAATGATTTTGAATATTTTATGCATTTTTAGTGAGTCATTATTAAAGATACTCTAGGGCACGAGTCAATATGTTTCTGCATACGTCAAGTACCCTTAGTTGATCTATATGTAGTAAGTGATATGCATGAAGCGCATACAACAATTAAAATTTTCTCTGGGTCTATTCTGGTGGTTCTTCTAAATGATCAACTAACTAGTTTTTGACTAATCTTGTATCATTCAACAATAAAGTATTTACTCTTTTTCAAATACTAACAAGAAATTCTCTGCAATCTTGGTAGTCAAATCTATGAATGAAACGCTTCAAAAAAGCTTCTGACGGAATTAAGATACGTAACTTTAAGATTGTCTGAATTTAGATAGGGAAAAAACCTTTCGAATACAGTGGATTTTTATAGTATCAGATGTCAAATCTTTTATTAAATTGAAATAAAGCACGTTTTGTTAAAGGGTAGCATATAATTATAGTAGTATCAAACCAAGAGGTATGATGCATTTCGTTTTGTAGATGTCAATAAAATGAGGTAAAATTCAATAGTGACGAAAAACAGTCAACATGACGATTACTATTAATTAATTCTTTTTACTTATTATACAGATCAAATCACCATGATATAAGATCGTTGGTTTTGTCAATGTAACTTTTAGCTAGTTGCAAACTCATATTGCATACAAAGCAATTATATATACTTGAGTAAAAATTAGCATTTTCTAAGATCAAGAAGCGTTTATCTAATACTTACGTAGATGCTGAGTAGTAGTTGTAGTTGTAGTTGTAGTTGTAGATGTAGTTGTAGTTGTAGTTGTACTTGTGGTTCGAATTGTAGTTGTAGTGTTCATCGCTATTCATTATTATAGAAGTTTTGTATGAACAAAGAAGATAGTTTTAAGTGAGACCTGAGCAGTTTTTCAGAGTAGAGTGACAATCTCAAATGATCTGAAAAGGCATTTGTATATTTCAAAACTGACTTTTAATGAGAAACTTCTGTGTTCATTAGAGGCCGAAACCAGAGTAAAATTCTCGACGATTTGATATAATCAAACCAAATTATATTGAATTGAACTGAATTCACCAAGATCGATTAGACAGACTCATCTACTTTCTTGATTTAACGAAATCTTGGAGACAGAGAAGAGACTTGTGAGACAGTGAAAAAATCCTCTTAACTAGAGCTTCATATATTATTTGTCTTCTTCGTATCACTAATCTCGCGAAATTTGGCAAAGAGAATTAAAAGTAGGGAATCCATTGGACAAACAGCTTATGTAAGCATTTCGAGACTAAAACAAAATCTTGTTATGTTCAAATTCATTCTTTCTATTGTACTTTCAATTCGAGTAAAAGATTAAAATGCACTGACTCCTGTTGTAGTACAGAGTTCTTATTCGAATTATAAAGTTTGTGATTTCAACTTCTTAGATAAATAGTCCATTTACTAGTGCGTTCATGTAACATCAGTAGAATATTCTACCGTCATATCAGCAATGTGAACGAATTGTTTTCTCCCTCTCGTCGTCAGACATAGCTGTATTAAGGATAGCCGGTCAATATGCATTCTGCACATATTAATATTTTACTGAGGTGGCTGAGTCAGTAGCACTACAAGCCGTGAAATATAATTTGCATACACAATTGCATTATTGGTCATTAGTAGCATTTTCATCCATTGCGGTGGATAAAACCCTCTTGAGCTCTAGAGATTACTGCGTCGCGGCTAAATGATCAGTCTTCAATTTCGCAAGGTTAGCGATCAGAAACATAACAGAGACAATTGTTGAAGCATTTTCTTTCGAGTTAGTACCCATAGAGATAAAAAACATGACACATTCTTCAGAAGTGAATCGAATTGAATTATCAATTGTTCAATTTTTTTGGTCTCTAATGTACATTGGAAAGCTCACTCACTGCGTATTCATGCACTACTAAATATAAATGTAACAGGTTCTGTATTTCAAATTCATGGATATGAGTCATGAGAAGGTATGGAACATTTTCTACAATGATTGCAATTCATTTTGTCTCTACCATGCTTTATCTACTTTTTCAAAGGCTCTTCGACTCTTCTGCACTGCTTTTACATCAACGTGAATTACATGTGTGTGAACTAAGAAAGATTCGGCTTTCACTTGAATCTGTAGATCCCTTTTTGTTCTCTTACTAGCTTTCGGTGGACAAAGTTGTTGATTGAAACTCAGCACTGGATAACAAACAGGAAGACTACGACATCGAGGATGATGGACACATCTATGGTTAGGTTCATGACAAATATTGCTTGAGTGTTCGCAGGTCACTAGCTCAGAACAATCTACGAATTCATCGCCACAAATGCCAATGTTAATAGCACCTGCTATATGGAAACAGGCACAAGCACTATTTGGCGAACATCGATCATATTGAGACATTCCATTACAGAATTGCGATTTCACTCGAACTATCGACATACTAAATTAATAAAAGATCATGGAAAACAGAACAAGAATCAAACCTGTAAGGCTTAAAAGAAAGATTGTTCCATATTAGATGAATAGAAAGAAATAGATTTTAGAGTTACCTAAATAGGACGAATACGAAGCAACGAATTACTATTGAAATCATCGTTTGCGTTGAAATGAGACAGAATAATGGTGGCATCCATCTTTATATCTAATGACTAGGTAATGCTTTTCGTATTTGTCCAAAGCGAAGAAGCACATGACGTGGTGCTCCATTAAATAGATATTCGATATTGCTCCAAAGCTTACTTAAGCACTTCATTTTTTTCTAAAAAAGTAACTTTTATAGAAGAAAAAATCGCAATAAAAGCGGCAAGCGATTGCTTTTGTGATAGAAGCAGTCAATATGTTGACGTCATCATTCGCAACATGAATATTGTTATTGTCCATCATTAAATCACTATGCAACGATGATTTAGAACAATTTCAGGGATAAGTTTTGTTTTCAATATTTCTATTTTTATTATAAGCATCTTACTGAACTTTGCATCTTGATCAAACCAAAATCACAATGTATAGGCACCTGTGCTCATGCCTACTTTGGACTTTTTTCGTTGCACCTTAAGAGTTGATTTTTTTTGACTTACATGTTCAAATCTCATTTTTGACATAAATATGTTCCGTTTGAGACAAGATCTTCGACGAGAATGTTGGTGTGGTTACGATTTTAACAGAGGCTTGGATTGTTCGTGAGTAAATGCTCAAGGTTAATTAAGAGTTTTAATAACATCAAATAAAAATATGAAAGGAAGATAATTTTAGTTTTATTTGATTAAATTTTCAAAATAGTTACCATTATGATTTATACAGAGCTCCATCCTTTCTAAAGGTTTGTCCAAAGTGTTTTAAAAATATTTTTCTAGAACATTCTTCACCATCTTGGAAACCTTCTGAGCTAGTGATTATTCATTTGCCTGATCGGTTAAATTGCTTTTGATATAATCCTTTAGCCAATAACCACACGGTGCAAGATTTGATGAAAATGGTAGATGATGCATTATTTCAATATCTTATTGTGTCCAATAACAGGCTTGAGACAATTGTAAATAGAATAGTTGTGATCGACAGTCTTAGCTTTATCTACACTATGTATAAGAAGAGGACTACTTGATTTAAAGAACAAACAAAACAATGTTCTGGATTCAAATCTATTTCGACGAACAATCATCATTGGTAGTTCATTTTCGTTAATCGAGATAGCATTGCTCGACTTTTGACCAATTAGTCTATGATAAATTGATATCTTATTACCAGTAATAATATCACATAATCGCCATGTTTCATTCGAAAACTTAGCTCTCATCCTTAGACAGTCATAAATAATTTGTTCTACATGTATTGTACCATGAGAGAAAGAAGTGTCCATTATAATATTATCATATAAGTTGAATGCGGATCATCTTCGATAACTTATCGAATCCGTTCAATATTGTCACCTACAAATACCGAAATCGGATGATCAAATCAAAACTCATCATCGACATCTTCCCTCCCTTCACGGCAATGTTTTGCCCATCTTCTAACTGTTGGACATGATGCAGCATAAGATCATCTCTTCCACCCCACAATGCTTTTGTAAGTTCTTCACACATTGCTTTTGTATCTTTTCTCAAGATAACCCAAATTTTAATACAGTATCGATTAAATTTACGAATCAAGTTTAAAAACTTTTTAAAGTTGACATCAAATTTTGTCATAATTTCAGTTCGGATTCAATGTCGAAAATAGATCACGATTCGTAAGAGCTGGTTTATTTTCACGAGAAAACGAAGTGAACTGATAACGAACGATCTCTTGTTCTAAATATACTATCGAAATGTAATATGCACGGACACGACGTCAGAAAATGTCACACACGAGAAAGAGAGATAAAAAAAAGGTGGAAAGTTCCAAAATTTACCCACACATTGGACAAAAGATATTCATATATTTGTTTAGTCACTATATTAAAGACTATATCTAAAAGAACCTTAGAATTAAATCCAAAATAGAATTGTTCTATACATTATTATAGACGAGACGTTCTACCATGTATTAATGCAATAAAACTTTTGCTATTAACTATTTTATAAAATTTTGAACACTGATCAGAACTTTTGGTCAGCCATAAGTAGAAAAAACTATTTTCTCAATAGAAAAACGTCTCATGTATCACAAAATAACGTATTCAGTTTTTCCCATATGTAATAAAAAGCAAAACAAAATCACGAAAAATCAAAATAGTGCCTTGAGAGAAAACGTTTTTAGAAGTATAGTACCAGTTTACGCCGTATGGTTTTCCCGATTATCTTTTAGAGGAGTTCGTTTCATTGAATTTTAAAGAGAATAGCTCCAGCTGTCTTCCTACAAAGTGTTCAAATCAATACTTTGACAATTGAGAGAGAGACCTACACAAAATATTGAGAGAACGATACTTTCTGGACTATCTATTAATATAAAAATTATTTTTAAAATAGTTTTGCATTAAAATGGTGTCAGTTTAATATAAGATAAATGATATAGTTGATCACTTCCAGATGACATAGTTATCCTACATATAAAATATTTTAGATGCGAGGAATACTTAATAATTGCAAATTTACACACGAAAGTCCATCATTTTACTGATAAAAAACAAATATTTAAATTGAATGCAAAAATTGTGTTCTTTTTTTGACTAATTTCACTTGTTGAGATAAATATTGAAATAAGTTTAATGAATTTTCATTGTCGAAGATTCTTTCTAACACAAATTTTTTGAAGAAAAAATAAGCAGTTGGAAGAAAAATTGGAACACTGATAAATCGAGTCAATTTTCGGCGCTGATTCCAAATATGTTATTAGATTTGACTTAAATCATGTCTTGAGAATAGTCTGCTAGGAAGTTCTTACATGACCAGTGTGCATTTTCGAAATCTGATAAAAATATGGTTTTGCAGCATTTCAACAGCACTATCAATTGATATATAAAGATTTACATGAACCAAACGAGGTGGTTCTTTTTCAGTGAACAAGAAAACAAGCAGGGCCGAACTTTTAGCAAGCCTACCACCGACCCCCATTGAAACGTCAAACAGAGTACACCGAAACCTTTTTTCGACAGACTTTTCCTTAAACGAATCGATGTAGAATTCAATACTCTATCCGATAAGAACATTTCGAAATGAACGTGATATAGTTGTACACAGATATCAGCAAGATATCTCACGATTTCGCCTTTCATAAACTTAGGGTAGTAATTCGGGTCATTATTGCCCTAGATACTATCGTACCAACTTGAAAGTACTACCAAAAAGCTCAGCATAACATTCTTTATCGAAACATGTATGAACTTTAACAATTCTAAAATGGGCAGATTGGACCCCTTATGTCCTCTCGTCTTTTATCGGTGGCCTCTAATTCTTACTTCATTGGCAGTCAGTGGTAGGTTAACTGAAAATCCGGTATCGATAGCGCTATTGAAATGCTGTAAAACCTAGAGTGTAGATGCGGATGGGTGCGTGCGATGTAGCCTTCACACATCCACACCCACTCTCAGCCGCTATTTTTTCCAGATTTGAGATTACAGTAGTTGACTTGATAAACTCATAGTTTTTGTTGAAATTCCAGGGAAACACCTGAAGACCTTTCCCCATCCGACACGAATTTTGACCGCTGTTCATGTAAGCACCAAACACAAAATAGATTCATTCGAATTCGATTTTCTTGTAAACTGCATCTGGACACAGTTAAACACGAATATGAAATGCATCCAGATGCAAACAATGTTTCGCCTGAGTTGCATCTAAACGCATTCGATTACTGTGATTTAGACGCATTTTGATACAAAAATTATTCACATGGGTGACACTATAATTTATTTATTTTATGTGTAACACAATATCAAATTTGTCTGTTTTTCTTTTCATAGTATTTCATCTTTCTAGTTAAATAATATAGTAATCGACAGAGCTTAACTGACTCTACAAAACTGCATATATGATATTTCTTCTTTATCTCAATACAGAATCGAAAAATTCGGAATACAATATTTTTGAGGACTTGAAATTTTCGTTTTTTTTCCACTATTTTGATCAAGCGTCTATATCACAAGACGATTAGGAAAAATGTAAGCAATTCATATTGAAGTTCGTTCGTTTCTGCATTGTATAATATATATATCCAATATTATCGTAAAATGTTCTAAAACTAAGTTAGTCAGACTCAAAAGTTGATTTCTGACATCTTACTGACTTCTTTACATCAACTTCAATATTTTACTATAGTTTCTTATATTTCAAAGTTCTTTTCGCGTTGAATTTCAATCAAAAGCAGAACATGTAATTTTCGTTGACAACATCAATTATAATTATAACGTGCATTTTACACTTACGTTACTCAAAATAACTATTTCATACTGAACAGTCTACCATATGTTGACTAACACTATTGATAACGATTTAGTTTGCAGAAAAATAAAACCTGTTTCGCACTAAGAATCAGCGTGATTTCCCAATATATATTGAATCTATATTTGTAGCATTTCATGATTGTGGCTTTACTGTTACTCTTGAAGATTCTCGATCTGAAAATGTAATCAGTCGTATCTTACAGCTATTTTTAGAGTTAATTTTATCCCCAATATTCTAATCGGTATTGTGAAATCTTTTATATTTCTGTCTTGATTTTCAAAACTCATCGTTATACGAAAAATATCTGCTATGTCGTCTTTTAAGAAGAACGCTTTTGAAAATGTATTACTGTTGATTGTATTGAATATATGTATATTTTCTACGGCCTATCATTTCAGATCTTAGTCAAAGAAGTTGGAACGAATTTATTAAAAGCCATCAAATTGTGTTTTATTATATCTTAAATGATGTATAATAATTTTGTTTCAATTTTGATAATAATTGAGAATAAAAAAGTTATAGTAAAAGAAATAAATTAAAGTCAGTCATTTTGACATTGAAAGCCATAGAGCCATGTTTGAAATAAGCATCAATAAGAATTGACAAAGACAGACAAAATAATTTAAGGTGTTGCATCTAGTTTCAATCTCTTTTTTATTTTTTCCTTTCGCTTTATCTTTATCAAAATCAGCTTGGCATGAGGTGCATCTGTCGCAGAAGTCGCATTTTGATTTCGCTTTCTGGTTTGTTTCTTTAATACTTGCACATGCTGCTATTTTAATTGGTTCAACATCAATTGGATTTGTTTTGATCGATTCTGTATTTTCAACAGAAATATGCTGCGTATTTTCAATGCTTGCAACTTTATTATGCGTATGAACGTCTGGAGCCGATTGTATCTGGAAAGAAACACGTTTTATTTTTGAAGTGCCTGCTGCTTTTGTACTGTCTTTGTCATCAGACTTCTTAATCTCACCCGTTTCAGCAACAATATCCTTATTTTGTTTTGTCTTATCACCTTGTTTTGGTGGAGGAAAGCAATAAAAAAGTATTCTTTGTAACACTCCACAGAAAACATAAAGTAACTTAGGCATTTCAGCTTTTGTAACAAAATAATTACACATGATAAACCATACCATTGATATTAATGTCCAACAAATTGATAACAAAAAGTATAATGTAATCATCATTAAGTATTGAGACTGTTGTGGAAATAGATTGGAAAAATTTAGTGAATAAACAGAATATGTCATAAAACATGTCATACCTAAAAATATAAATACGGTATTTATTTGATAAATTTCATCTAGTATTGAAGAAAAGAAGATATTCTTACATAGAGCAACTTGTGCTACAAAGGATAATGCATACGATAACAAAGTAACAAAATTTAAAATCAAACATGCAAATATACCATTCATGATAAAAAATAATGGTTTTCTTTTTAGATATAATTGTATTGATATTACAGCATTATAAGTATCTTCAAATGGTGCTCTATCTGTTGCATTAATTACAATTATATCTGTTCCATTCAATTGCCATAAAGGATGTTCACTATATCCACTAATATCAATTAGTAAACTGCTATTTTCTGTATATATAATTCTATTGTACCCTTGACTCCATGATGTTAAATCTATGCTGCATATTTGTTTATCAAATGGAAAATATTGAACAACGAAGCTACATCTTGTTCTTACTGCTAATGCTGGTAAAATCATATACACTTGACCGGTGTAGTAAACAGATGCCAAACTATAATCATTCACTGTGAGATAACCACTTGCATCTGCTGAATTCAATATCATTGTATCTGGTATCCATAAACTTTTAATCGGTAGCATAACTACAGCTATATTATTATTTGAAGCATTTGCTACCCATGATAATCGATCATCGTACCATGTTTGTGAAATAAATAAACTTGATGTCATTATTTGTTGTTTTTCATCTATAGCCACAATTTGTTGTAGTGAAGCAGTGATATCAATAGATACTTGGTCATCTGGTCTTATATTCTTATTATATCCATTTAACAATGTTCCTATTAGAGTTTGTTCAGCTAGTTGTGAAGCCGGTAATGTTCCGCAATTACAGAAGTAGAATAAATAGTATGCCAGAATAATGAAAGCAACTAAGTTTACCATTTTGAGATTTTTTATTTTTGGGATAACAGGTCAGTATGAGTTTTTAAAGCAGTTTATTGCTTGTTGACTTTTAGTCTAGTATAAAAAAGAAAATTTTCATTTGAGAAACTATAAAGAATGTCTACATTTGTGCATGTTCCTTTGTGAACAAAATACAGTATTTATTTTAAAAATACTATGTTTGGGGTCTGTTGTGGATGTGCATATTCTCTTCAACGATACTCACGCATACACCCTAAAAAATAGGTAGGCAGTCTATTTTGGTCAGACGGATAAAATAGTATAGCTAAAGCTGTATAGTTATAAGTGTGTAGGTCTAGGAGTTTAGTCATAGGACAACAGCTACACGGATATAGTTATGAGTCCGGAGATCAAAGGTTTAAGTAACAGCTACTTATTGTAGTTTGACTGTAGAGGTATACGTCTAAAAATTTAGCTATAGTGGTCTAGGTATATGGGTAAAGGTATACACTGTGAAAACAAAACCTAGAGTAATAAACCTTTCAAGGGTTCATCGAAGTACAATGTACAAAAAAAAAACACTCTTTCATCGTTGATGAAATCTTCGCACACTCTGTCATAAATCATTTTAAAAGTGCATATGAGCAGATTTATGACCTTCAAATGCTGCTCGTGAATGATTTGCTCGAGAGTATATAATTTTCACAAACCCTTAAAGACTATGTTATAAGTTGCATATTCATAAAACCTACTAAAGAATACATGAAAGAACTCACATAAATCTTCAATCGAATCAAGGATTTATCAAGTAATATCCGGAACGATTTCTAACCGTCATGGACCATACCCAGATCCCCTTACGGGATATTTATCGCAGTAACAGGATATGAAACGATCTTTGGTACAGTACAAAGAGGCGTTTATTTTATGAACTCCCCACGTTTCACTTGTTTTCGGTATTTCTCAGAAAGTGACGAACGATACTCGGAATAACTCAATGAATGAAAAAAAAGGAATGTGTATTTTCTCATTTTATCGCTTGTTTTAAATTTGAATCAATTATTACGATGAATAAAAGGAAAAAAGAAAAGGAAAATAAGTTAGTTGTTGTCGATTTCTTTAACAAGAAGCGTCGGAAGTGTCCATGCAATGAATCAAAGAAAAGGCAACTATACTAATCTATTAGAGTTTTTTCATTAGGTAACGGACAATTATCGACATAGAAAATGAGGAAAAATAGTGAAGCTAATTTTCTAATTACATTGCTATTATAAAATGTGCAAGAGCTACCATGATAAGTGAATAAAGCAACAGAAAATGAAAACTAAACTAAACAGTTTTTTCCATTTCGCGCAGAACAAGCAATCAACGTCAAGATATAGTAGAAAAAAGGGATATTAGACATAGGTATTTGTTTTTTTAAATTTAAAATAAGATGTGCGATCACTCTCACAATCACTAAATAATAAAAGAGAAAATTAAACTGAGCCAACATATTCAAGTTTTTATGTGCGACGACATATAATTTTGGTAACAAAGAAATTGAGAAAAGAAGGGTAAAGATTATTTTCTGATTCAATTTCTCTGATAAGAAGTGCTGGAAATATTAGGATAACTTAAACAAGAAGGAGAAAAACAAAATAAGTCAGTCATTTCCGGTATTTCTGAGAAAGTGGCGCACAATACTTAGAATAACTAAATGAATGAGACAAAAAGAATGTGTATTTTTTCATTCTATCGCTTGTTTTAAATGTAGGGCAATTATTGAGATGAGTAAAAGAAAAAAAGAAAAGTAAACTAAATTAGTTCTCTCGATTTCTTTGACAACAAGCGTCGGATGTATCCATGCAATGAATCAAAGAAAAGGAAACTATACTAATCTATTAGAGTATTTTCATTAGGCAGCGGACAGTTATCAGCAGAAGCAGGTCAGAAAAACGTGTTAGTGCGACGCCTTGAGTGGCCAAAGTGTCGAACTCAGAAACTCTGACTACTATAAATTTGTGATACGTCGTCAGAGGTTTTAATATAATTCATTTAAAACATAAATAAATAAATGAATAAATTAAAATTACAACAATTTCTATAGTTTTTACACGTTCTCTGATTTTTTTTCATTTTGAAAATGTTTGCATTTATAAGTACTTTTCTACCAATTTATTTGATTCATTCAACGTTATTATACTTTAAAAACGTATTTGCATTGTCACGTACAGCTTCAATGCATAAATTCTATTTTGCTAATGGCAATATACATACCACATACGCCACAGGAAGCAGCAAATGTGATTTTACTCTTTGTTTCATCGGTCTTATTACCATATTGACCTGCTATACATATTGATTTTATCGCGCAGTAACCTGCTACTAATATTATTGTATATCTTGACGAATTTTGCCTAAGATTAGAGTTCAATTAGTTTATATATTTTCTATGTTCGTTCTATTCTAAATTTGCTAGACCAAAAATACGACCATCCTATGGATTGACACCTATAATAAGATCCTTTCGCTGCATGAAAAACTAGAACCACCAATAATTAAACCAAAAAGTTAGAATCTACAGAGTTTCAGAATAATCTAAGCACTGAAATTACTTACGTGTCATTTCCTGTTGCTAGGGAAATGTATCTAATAATCTTTGGTGAGTTTTGGTGTGTTATTCTTCTGTATTCACAGCCGCACCCACATCCACATCCCTCTTCTTATTAGGATTCTGCCAGAATCAATAACTACATCAAACAAGGCTGTACGAAAGAAAATAACAAGACTAATTAGAATCCTAAAGTAATTAATCCTATCAAGCTTCGGTTAGGATTCTGTTCAGAACTTTCCAAACAATGAAGGTTTAGAAACCTTGCAAGACAATGCCGACTCTAATCAAAATCTTGATAAGAAAGCATAAGGATTCAGTCAGGATTGTGGAAGGCCACTGTTTACTGTACTGAACCCTAGTCATTTCTTGAGCAAGTGTTGAAGAATCTTTCAAGATGATAGCCCAAAGGTTACTCCCAAATTTGATGCAAGATCTTTCTCAGGATACTTCAATTTTCTGCTCAAATTTTTTTTAAATTGATGATTCAAGATCCCACAGGAAGTTGTTCTCGCTCCTGACGAGAATAATGGAAAAGAGTCGGTCTATATTTTCTTATATTTTGTCAACATCTACCATGAATGCTGATACGAGGTTTCTGTCGAAGTTTTTAGTTAAATCAGAAGAGGATTTGGGTAAGTATAACAAACAATTAGTTAGAATGCTAAACGAATAAATCCTGCCAAGTTTCATTAGTCATTTTTCAGGGGGCGAATGTGGGTGAGAATCTGGATTTACATTTTCTCATAACTCATATCCTATTCAACATACGCATTTTGTTTAAAATTATTCTCGCAAATCTGACCGACATCCATCAAATTTTGTAAATGAATGACATTTTATCAATCAAGTTATAGACATCGCATTCAATCTCCAAGTTCAGCATCATGAAAACTTGCTGTAGTTTATTTATAATCAATCATGAATTAAAAGATGTTCACAAAATTAGTTAGAGAACTTCAATCGCTTTGCTCATGGGTAAGCATGTGAGTACTTCTTTTGTCCTACATAACGAATAATTTTTGTTAGTCTATTTCCAAAGTCACTGTAATCAATTGACTCTTCGTATACAAGGATAGTTAAATTTGGAAATAATAATGGTATGGCATTTGTTCTATATGTAACATCAACTGGAATTGTATATTCGTCGCTTAAACTATCCCAATGAAAGGCTTCAACTATTAATAAACCTTTATATTTCAATGATTGCTCTATTCTTCGCAGATAACTAGTTTGATTTATTATTGGAAAATACATGCATACAATTAAATCCCATTGTTCGAAACCAAAGTGAAACTCTTCGATTGTTGTTACCTGTGCTTGTAATGCAGTCAGATTTAACTGTTTTGTCTGATTTTTAGCTATATGTATACCTTCAATAGATGAATCAAACCCTGTTACTTTGTAGCCTTTTTTTGCAAGCCAGATTGAATTTCTTCCTTGTCCCATAGCGATATCTAATACTTGAAAATTATGTGATGGTGGTTTGTATTCTTCTATAAATTTCTTCAGAAATTTATTTTCTTTTCTATTAAAATTTGACAAAGTGCTTGATCCCATGTAATAAGTGTTCCACGACGTCGGTGATGAATAATATTCTTGCTGGTGTGGAGTTTTTAACAGCCAAACTGCTTCATTCATATTATTTATTCCAAATTTTTTCAGTTTGTGGTATATATGTAACTGACCCTTATCGTGTTCTATCGGTTCATAATGGACATATGTACTAAATGTGGAATGAGTAAAATTAAAATACATTGATGTATAAACAATATGCGATTCCCATGCATTTTTAATTGCTGTTGGCGGATGATCTAACATACTATCAACAATTTTATACTTAATCCCAGTATAAAAATGTTCTAATTCTAAAACACACATTTTCGCGTCTTCATAATTCATCCTATATTTGATTTGTAAATTCTTGATAATATATTGAAAATCACGTTCCGGAATTTTTACTCGATTATAATTTGTTGACGACATGCCAAAAATTAAAAACATGCAATTGAAAAAAAAACCAGTTGCTACTTGCATGATACTTTCTTCTCTCTGGTTGACAGTTTATGTTCTTCAAAACATAAAATAAGATTATTTAGTAGCAATTGATTTGATATCATTGTGCAGGGTAGCCTAAAAGTAAGGTAACACATAATTATCTGATTTCTTCTTTGGATATAGACAGTTGGAACTCGTGTTTTTACCACATATGCTAGATAATACTAGTCAAAGATATAGCGTACGATCAATTATATGGGTGCAGTGATTCATTTAAAAGTGTACAAATAAATCGAACTTATTGTATGGAATTGTAAGAAAAAATTTGATACCACCACTTGTTAAATGAACTTAATTTATTTAAAAATTGAATTCATTTAAGCTGCAACATGCCAACATTAACTAGATAACATTCGTCAAACCAATGGTGATAAGCCAACGAAACCGAAAATTGAATCAAACTCGAAACATATCGAAGTCCTCTTACCTTCCCATACAATCAGTCTGATTTATTTTTAGGATTTGAAATGAATAACAGCAGCCAAAAATTGATCATACACTACACCTTTGACTAGTATCAGCCACTATATGTGGTATAAACATGAGATTCAACTGCATATATTCAAAGAAGAAATCAAACAATTATGTGTTACCTTACTTTTATACTACTCTGTATTTCATGTATCAGCTTCAATCATGCGCTCTCTACTTTGTAATCGTTCGTATAGGTACAGAACATCTTTCTTTGGTATCATGATAGTCTTATAACATAATATTGAAGAAGGCAACAAAAACCATCAGAAACCATATTCCTACCACCAAAATGACACGACAAGAAAACATGTGAAATACAAAATATTCTGACTGTCATTGCAAGAATAAAAACAAAGTGATTGCCTACAATCGAATAACTTCATTGCAGTTCAAACTTCAAAATAGTGAAATAAATATTTTCTTCTGAGATAATGAATGCCCTATTTTAGCATAGTAAAAGTACATCTGATAATGAACCAAATCAAAGAATACCTATGAAAATTAGTTTCATATCAAGTAAGCGAAGCAGATTTGAACAGAATAGACGCATCTAAAACACAAAAATAAATAAATAAATTCTTTATTCATTTATTCAACTCACAAAATTTCACATACATGTTATATTTAGGAAACTTGACAGTTCGATCAGTACAAGAGAGTAATAAAATGAATATATCATAAAGAAATTATTTTTTCCTACATAATTAATCATCATAGCATATTCTTTCATCCATTTCAAGCAAACAATTTTATATACAATCATATATCTTGAAGTAATCGATGTAAATACAATAAAAGTAAGACTATTAATATTTAAGTATTGAGAAGTAAGTTACAAATAATTGACTCATCAAAATAAAACGAGAGTGACAGAGAAGAAAAATTACCGAATTTGCAAGAGGGAAGAAACTTGAATATTTATAGCCCTATTCATATATATCCAATATTGAATTATCATCTCTTTTTTTCTGTTCGCAATTCCGTTATTTAAATTGAAGCATATATATATATATATCATAGAGAAAATTAACATTCTAAAAACACAACTCCACTTTTTTCTTTCAGCAGTACGAAGCTCAATGACTACAATTATGCGATATTTAGTATTCATACTTCTTATGTCAGTACTGATAATTGCTGATGTCGTCGAAGAAAGCCGTCATGAAGTATTGAAACGTATGATAAATAGTGCTGAAAATGCGAAACAGAATGTTGCAAAACGTGAAATTTATAGATGTGTGTATTATCCTGGTCCAGAACCTGCTCCTAAACCTATTTGGGTGTGAAAGCTGACTTTCAAAGACATACAATATACATTCAACGTTGAAGAAAAACAAGATTAAACATGCCATTGACATTTTTCTGTTTCTTTTGATATTTTTGCTTTGTCAGTAGCAAGTCTATTGTTTTATGGAATTAACAGCATTGAGAATACAGAATAAACAAGAAGTTTATCTCCTCTTTCATTAGCATCTCTATATTTTGGTATATCAATATAAATTCTCCATTTCTAGGTAAATGTCGTAGATAAATTTGAATCACAAGAAAACTGTAGTAATTGTCTATTTGTGGCTGGATGAATGCATCAATAGGATAGATTGGTGACCGTTCGTGGATCTACTAGTGAATTGGAAGGCGTTTGGGTGGTAATATGGATATGGATGGATGAGATCTTGCTTAAGGTTAAGAGCTGAAATTAATGATGTGGACGAGGATATGGCTGGCTTGGTTAGGTGATTTGGCATTCTGTGTTCTCACCTATCGATGGAGTAACACACGCCTAGAAATGATTGAAAGATTTGATGCGCTGCTTCTGTGAACAATGTTCTCTGAAGTGATTTGAGGGTGTACAGAATATGATGGTATGCATAGATAAATGAGTGACTATGAAGTATCGAGAATACCTATACCATCGCCTCACAAGGGCACACCACTAGAATTACGAAGTGATCATTAGATTTTCTAAAAATGGTAGCTCACTGATAAAAATAACTTCCCAAATCTACGCACAACTACCTATCAACCGCTAGCAGCACATTCGATACCTCAACCGTCTCCCTCATTCTCACTCCACAGGCAACAGCAAAGACTAATAGTGCAAGTGTCTTTTTATCATAAAGGAAATAAATGTTCAGTAATTTTTGGTGACAAAAACGTCAGTTCAAAATCATTAATGGATGTTTCATTTAACATAATAGTCACAGCAGCTTTCTCAGAAATTTGACTTGAAGAATCGACGTCGTTTTCAATGACATCGTAGAAATCAATATGCGTGACACTATCAGGTGCAAAATAGCATAAAGTTGCTTAGTGTTCCTTCACAGATGGTACTATATAGGAGAATATCAAAGAGTAAATATTTTCGAATAGAATTTTGCTCGTCGAATACGAAAGAGGCTATTACTGATGATAGAACGAGATAAAATATAGTTAACATGAAAACGATTTGTCTTAAAATTTATCTACGACATTTACCTAGAAATGGGGAATTTATATTGATATACCAAAATATAGAGATGCTAATGAAAGAGGAGCAGTCATCCTATTCCGCAATGTTGCACATTCCGGAATCAGTTCCGCCCTCCGGAATCAGTTCCACCAATTCCGGAACTCCTCCAACCTAATTCCGGAATTCCTCCAACTAATTCCGGAATTCCTTTAACTAATTCCGGAATTCATCGAACTAATTCCGGAACTCCTCCAACTGATTCCGGAATTGTGTCCGAGACGGAATCGGTAGGAATTCCGTCTNAACCTGTTGTTCATTGTTGTAATGAAAAGTGCTAGACGACTCAAAATTAAAAAATTAAAATTAAGCATTCTCCTTGAATACAGGACGTTTTTATTTAATGCTTTATTCAAACATAACTTCCAGGGATCTCTTCAATCTGAGACCACATTCGCGACAATCAGATTTGTTTTCAATGAAATATTTCCGTTACAGCTAAATATCACGTGCAAAGAAAATTTTCGAGGGCTTTTAAAACTTCATTAAATTCTCGGTCAAGATGAGGGCTAGATCAGATAAAAAATATACAGTTCAATAGAGAAATGAATGCTCTATCTAACCGTATAAAAATAAATAACTTCTCAAGTTTAGTCGAAGTATAGTAAACTGAAGGAAACTAGTAAAGTTAGGTGAATCATCCTGTAGTACATTTTGGTTATTAGTTACTGTGTTTTCTGTAGATCGATTTATTGTAACGTATCTATTCAAAAACAAAGACAACATGACTTTTCTTCGAAACATGAAGTTATCAAGCTGTTTGGCTATGTTGAAGCAAAAATGAAAGAATCAAGAAGAGAAGAATATAAAATCTATTTCTTAGCCGTAATCATGTAGCGTAGTCGAAGTATAACAAGTAAAACTCCTTTTACTCCATTATTAAAGGCATATAAACCATACGAAAACAAGAAATACAAAGAAATCACACTACTTATTATTTTTATATGTTCACTAACATTACGATTTGAATTTATTTATTTCATTGAATGCTTATTATTCATATAGGAAATACTATTGAAGTATAATGTCAAAAGAAACTACGTAAATAGGCAGAAAACTAATTTACAATGACATTTAGTAAACGATGATTTCATTTTCATAAAATAATTCAACATGCACTCGATAAACTAATAACAGCAATATAAATAGTTGATTTATTTTATAATTTAAGTGGCAGTCCAATTCCCTAATACTTCTCAACGAATTAGATAAAACTATTTCTTATTATACAAGATAAATAAGCTCTTGTGATATAATATTGCTGAAATGAATTGGACTTGTAAAGCACTGTTCTCGCTCTATTTTACTTTTTTGTATCTTTAAGACGATCTAATATGTTTTTGAGAGCTTCTGTGCTCAAGATCTGAGAGAACTGAAATACAAATTGGCACTCATGAAAAATTTTATTCTATTATTAGTTTTCTTCATTCAACTCATATTCGATAACAAGATTTAAGCAAACATTTGAAGAGAAGGTCATATTTTAAATTTAGTATGTCTCAGTGTTTTCAATCTAAAAAGAAATTCAATTTATATCTGCTGGCTTTATTTCACTTGATTTAAGAAAAATATATCAGAAATTCTTTGACTACAAACAAAAATGTTGAGAGTGACGTTGTAGTGAATAAGAAAACGAATGCTATCCAACATTTGCTTAGTCTATTGGTTAAAAATATCTCTCTTTTATGAAAGAGGAAATGAGAGAAAACCTATAAGAAGAAACATCAATTTCTTTCACACATTTCTCATATATTCAAATTCAAAACAACGATGTTGTCAAATATTACTTTTATGTTTATTACTCTAATTAGCCCTAGTCTTACAATATTGATTGCTTTCACTTTATTTCTTATCATGATCATTCATTTACGAAAAAAAAAAGATGTTACAATTCTTGTTGTAACAAATACATATGCAGCTATGATCGTATTTTCTTTCGTACTTTTAT